AATTTGCTACCAGTCCACTAGTCTATTACTAGCTAGATAGTAGTAGGAGCTAAGCATATGCTCCACCAAGTCTTATTCTTCTACAACAAGATTTATAATTATTAAGCCCTAGATATGGAGACCATCGAGTTTTCAATGGCGTCGAATGAATGATCTGTAGTTACTTTTGACGCAGTCGCGAGTCTGCGAAATCTAAAAAAAGTATTATTTGAATGATGAGTTTGCGAAATCTCGACTTAATAAGATTGACGTGGAGCTCAGATAATGTAATGGAAACTCTACGCAGTATCCATTCGCCAGACAATGTAATGCCCTAGATTACAGAGACAACGTTGTGCAATATAGTACTCCCTCCATTTTTATTTGCTATGCATATTAGCTTTGACTAAAGTCAAACTTTATAAAGTTTGATCAAATTTATAAAAACAATATAAATATTTACAATAACAAATCCATATGATGTCAAAATATATTCAATAATAATGAATCTAATGATATTGATTTGGTATTGTATATGTTAACTTATTTTCTATAATCTCGCAAAAAGACCTTTCTATAAATTTGATCGAAGTGGGCGAATTTCCATTTTACCAAGAATATCTCGCTGTCATACGGAAATATGTTGCAAAACAAAACAAAAAAATACAGAAAAATGTAGTGGCAAAAATTTATTATATACTTGCATGTTGAGATGGGTATTTTTTCATTCACTTCATGATGAAGTGACATGCTTGCATGTTGATTGACATATGATAGTGGGGGTGGGTCTTTTCTCATGGATATTGTGCGATGATATGACATGCTTGTATGTTGAGAGAAATAGTTAGTGTTTGCAAGTTTTTGTAGGTAGCTTACCAAGCTGACCGTTGGTAAGAGAGAAATAGTTAGTGGGGGCTAGCTATTTAGATATAAAAGATAAGCATGTAGAATATGATATTTGGTAGTACCATGCATGTTGCATAAATTAATGGGCCACACTGGACGTGCTTAATTACCTACTACTACTCTAGAGGTTTTGACTGAGCAAGTTAGTGCACATCACTTTATTGTGTCGCCCGTACGTGATGATAACAAAATCCTTGTGTTGCTGCTAAAAGGCCCCATAGTGCGCACTAGAGAGATAAAATGTGCAGACCAAGAAAAGTGCAGGGAAAAGATGACAGAAAGTAGGATCGTAGTGGGGCTTGGGAATGTGCTGATGGTTACATGCATGATGTGATGGAGAGATCGACCATGACACGCGCTTTTGTTGTCTTGCACTAGATTCGGTCTCCTGCTTACGTCGTGCAAACGAGAAAAAAGGCTCATGCCGGCTCAAACACTCTAGCCGGCCCTGTGATAATGTGCTGTGAATGCATTTCATCTTGCAAATTTACAGTTGATATTAAGAAAATAGTTTTCATGGTAAATCTAATAATGTTAGTTTGCATGAGGAAATTATAAATTAACTTCACAACATGAGGCAAAGTTGGGAAAGAATGATTGCAAGTACTCCCTTCTTGCCAAATTCTAGTGCATATAAGTTTTGGCAAAGTCAAACTTTGTAAACTTAGACTAAGTTTATAGGGGGGAAATATGAACATCTACAATATAAAAGACATACCTTATGAAAATGTTTTTCATGAGGGATTTAAAGGTGTTTATTTGACAATTATGAGAAATGGGTATGTCAAAAGTTTCACATGAAAAAAATGATGGACAAACCAAAGTCTATGGCACATTATTAATGGACTCATTCATCTGGGTTTATATTCTAACCATACAATCAAATGGAAAACAATAAATGAAAATACTTACTATTTTATGAAAGTAAACATAACTTTTTGCAAACAAAATTCTTACTTTTGCTTGTGTGCATACAGAAATCATGTTACGAGAAAATACGTAATTTTGAAGTCATTTTACCAGATATTTTGTTGCTGGGGTTTATATACACAAAATTAAGTTGCCACATGAACAAACCATATCTGCCCAAAAATTGGCTAGAAATTGGCCAACTAATGAAGCTAAGTATAAAGCTTGTTTTCATGATAATTATAATCATCTTAAGATGACTTAAAGGTCAAGTACTTTCACAATATTAACCAAACCGTGTTTTGTACTCATGTTGAGATAATCATGCTGCAATTCAATAGGTTCCAACCCCCACATAAAGGCCATGTAAAACAACACGCATAAGTTCTCAAAAAAAACACGCATAACACAACAAAGGTGGATGTTTGGGGCCTACCGAGCAATTACTAATTAATTAAATAAAAAATGATATGGTGCAATGGATGTTTTCATGGGTTGGTTGTTATTACTTGTTAGTGCTAAGGGAAGGCGGGGGTTGTTCTCGACCAATTCCCCATACTTATCACCACTACACGCACATAATTTTTTGGGATATTGTTTCATGTTTCAGCTGCAAATTTGGCAACATGCAAATGATTATTAGCTCCACTACATTCTATAAAAGCTAGCACAAGCACAACATGGATTAGGCCTGCCTCCAAGATCTGGGGCCCCGCATAATATTTTCTAACCTCATACTTACGTGAAGATATGGTAGGTTGTTGCTAGTAAGCAATTAAACTCCATTTTCCCCACAAATATGGTTTTCCCAATAACTTGTTCTATAGGATTTTGCGAAAGTTTTGTGTTAATAGTCGATAATCGGCTTTTCATGATGATACCAAAAAACCAAAAAATCAAGTTGAGTTTATATGATTATTTGATATTAAATTCAGACTTGATAAAATTAACTAAAACTTGTAAACGGTATCAGTATTGTCACTAATTCTCCATCATGTCAAATGTGCATTCCCTCTACCTATCCATGAGGTGAAGTGGAAGGGGGGCGCCACATAAAATTAGTGATCATAAAGGTTTAAACAGGATTCAAAATTGAGATTGACTATGTGCCACCAAGAAAGTTAAACTATTTTATGAAAAATAGTGTTTGGTGCCTATTTATTTGTTAATCTATTTCATTGTAGAACATATATAAGACGCAATGCGAGAGATTTTTTTTATTTACAAATAAGAGTGATGGTTCCTAATTACTAACCCAAGGGACACCCTGGTCGTCAAGCGCAATCAAAGACAGTAAGGAACAAACCAAAAGACATTTTTGCTATTATTCACTTGCTTGAATTTTCTTTTGCGTCTAGACGCCTTTCCCCCCTTTTGTTTAGTCCTTTTTCTTCTTTTTACTTTTGTGAAAGGCCGAAACCCCATATTAAAGTCTATCAACCTGATCCTATGAGAAATCGAAATCGTCTTCCTCACTCATTGGTGTAGCCCGTGAGCGAAACTTGATGATGCCATTGAACCTCATAAAGACCATCAGAGACAAGAAAACGGTGATAAGGCAGCGACCAAGAAGTCGCCAGGAAAACCCTAAAGTTGCCATGAACAACAATCTGTAAAACACATCACCACCCCCCAGATTCGACCAAATATATCTGAGATACCAAATCCTCACAAGTTCCATGACGATGTTGAAGATGGACGAACAACGCCAGTCGGAGAAGAAGCTGGATGAGAAAAACACGAAGCCCGCTATGCCAGAAGACACTGTCAAAGACCACCTCCATAACATGAAGAAAAACAAACCCACCTCTTTAGAACAACAACAACTAGACGATCCCCCACTCCATCACCATCACAACTCTGCCATCGGAGAATGAAACTCTAATCCTAAGTGACCTAACTATAGCACCGCAATGCAGTCCCCGGTCCCCACCCCATCCCTCCTCCGTAACAGCAGGCATATGATGATGGGACTCGTGGTCTCACATGGTGTCACAACCCTAGACTATGGTAATTTAATAAATGCATCAAAGCATTCATGCATCTTGTTTAAATTTTTTGACATTTGGAATTGAGGGAATTTAAAGCCTCGTATTCAAATAAAGGAAAAAAACCCTAAAATAAATAAATGGCCTTCTAAAGCAATGCACAGGGACGATGCGGTGTGATCAGAGGAGCAGAACATAGTCCATAGATGGGGGGGGGGGGTTGCTCAACCCCACTAAAACATGCACTAACTCACCTGTAGGATTTTTCCTATACCCTTGGCCCCGACATGAACCTAGAGACGCGCCTCTTCTTGAATGGTTTGGATGGCACAACTAGAGGAGGGGCGTTGGATGTCCAAGATGCAGTCGTTACAATGCTTCCAAAGCAACAGTGGCTATGAGAGAAACGATGGATGTGAAACTCTTGCGCAGCTGCACCGACGCTAGGTGGAAGGAGTTCGCCCACCATCACATGAATGAAATGTCTTGGGCGAGAAGGAGGGTCGTAAGCCCGCACCGGGAGAAGACCTCGTGCCAAACTTGGTGCGAGAAGGAGCAGTTGCAGGGCAGGTTCTGCGTGCACTCTAGTTCCTGGTCACAGAGAGCGCAGGAGACCTCACGGGGAAAGCCGCGATAGGCAGTCCAGCACCGGTTTGGCATTTCAATACCAATCTTTTGGTCACATCGATGTCTTCAGTTCCTTCTTCCTTTAGAATGTTTTGTTTTGTTTTTCATAACTACACAGTTTATGTTTTTGTTTACTGAGAAAAAAAGAGATAATATCTATATGTTTTTAAATATAAGACGTTCTGCAGTTCACAGATATTGCAAATTCAGTTACCTAAAGAGTAGATGGTCCCAACGAAACAGCGCTCGTTCGTGTAATGGCTATAGCTTTGCTGCTGTTGTCCCAAGGAGCCAACTTCACTTCACTTAGAGCATCTCCAACAGGCGCTTTCAACAGGGAAAAAAAGAAGAGAATTTGCCACAAAAATGGAAGTAAATAGTGCAATGGCATTAGTGAAATAAGCTCTCAAATATTTGGACATTCTCTGCTATCAATTCTTTAAATAGACCACTCCACTGGTCCGTCCGTCCAACCCCCCACTTACATAGCCACAACCCACAACGAGCACTTGCGTATTGTGATCTTTCCACTGCGCGTGCTTCCCTCGTAGCTCATCACCAATCTACCCGCAGCTCAGCTCCTCACCGGCGATGGGGAACTGCCTGGTGATCCAGGACAGAAGGGAGATCAAGGTGATGAGCGTGGTCGACGGCGAAGTCCTCAAGCCGCTCCCGGCGCCACCCCTCTCCAAGGGCGCCCTCGCACGCGTCTCCGGCTCCTCCGACGCCGACGACACGCTCCGGCCGCAGAAGCAAGGCCTCGACGGCCGGGCGGGCGGCATGGGGCAGTTGCACCGCCTGTTCCCCTCCGATGCTAAGGCGCCTCCTGCCGCCGCGGCTGACCCGGAGGGCGCCGTCGTGAGGGTGAAGCTGGTCATCAGCAAGCAGGAGCTGAGGAGGATGCTGGGCAAGGACGACGAGGCCGTCTCCATGGACGACATGGTGGCTCTCCTGCGAGGAGGGTCGGAGGACCGGAAGCAGGAGGACGTCGGTTGCTACAGAGGGTGGCGGCCTGCCTTGCATAGCATACCTGAAGGCAGCGGTGATCTATATTCTATATTAGCATAAGAAATTAGCTGGAAGAAAAATACATATATGGATACTAAGCATAAGAAAATATGCATGTATTTATATTCACATAGTAGAAAATAGAGGTCATAGTTGGGTAGATTTTCTGCTAGTAGTTTTGGGATAGGGGTTATCTTCAGGTTGTCTTGTTTGGTGGGTGCATATACCATGTAAGACAAGTTAAAGATAGTCCTGGAAATCAAACGAGACAATATAAACTTAATTATTGATGGCATAATACTGATATACTCGTTGCTGTACTAAGTTTACTCTTTTTTTTTCATTATTTCACAAGCCTCTGAAGTACACCACAGTAGCACACCAGGTATTAATTGGGTCAAATGACTCCACTACTCAAGGTACCATGATTTCGGCTCTGGAATAGGAGTACCTTCTATTCTCAATAGGACACACTCCTAGCCTGGCTTCAAAGATGAGTAACGACTCTGCAAGACATCTCTGCCCGCCATAATTAAGCACGCAGAAGATTCAGTCAATGAATTCTGGACCTACTTGAAGGAAATCGCGATAACCGATGATTTATCAAGTAATATGTGATCTTCTTGGAGGACCGCCTCCGCCGAAGCAATCGCTCCCACAACATCATTTTTTACAGGGAAGCAACCATGCTAGTGTCCCCTCACCTGTGCCGCCAATCGGCATAGCCGGTTATCAGACAGAGAGTAGTGGCAGTCGACCAAGTAGCCCCGCTGTCAACTTGAGAGGGAAAAAAGTTCTTCAGTATTTATATCCTCATGTCAACAAAATTAATTTCCCTCAGTGAACTACCATTAGCATGCACTACCATGCTGCCACTTTTTTGGTTGGATTTAGTGAAATAATTTGTTTCTGTTGGCCACCTCTTTTGTTGTCTCGACAGGTTTTAGTGGATTCAAAGCGCTCGATGAAATGGACTCAACACACAGGCGAACAAGAACAGAGGATGACTCAGTTGTGATCCAGGCAACAAATGCCGTCCTTTTTTTCTCAGTCAAGACTGAACCAGCAACACACGCCGGCTCCTCTCTTTTCATCTTCAGTACACCCAATGCGTGAACTGATGGCTGCAACAGGCACAGTCCACCATCAACCCACCCCACTGTGCCAGCAAAACACATTTGCACACTACAACAAACTAGATTTACTCTTAACAGTTTTGGCTCTGAAAACATGCTGGTCCTCAGCATTCAGAAAAAGTGAAATAAAAGCACTTGAGAGAGTATATACAACTCATCAGCATGTAAGCAAATTTTTAATTACACATGGAAGTGAAACAGGTAGGGTGTAAATGGAGCAGAACCGGTTAGAAATGACACAACAAGTAGGCATGGGATATGTCCAGCCGATGGACATAGATGTACCTGAACCCAAGACCCTTGCGATGCACCTCTCAAGTTCGAGCAAGCAGAAGATCATCCAGCTAGTCCATTTAAGACTTTCTTGTTGAACAGATTTTTAACACAGAAATCAGAGATTCTGAATGTCTGAAGTTTTTGGACATCTGGAATCTGGCAACTTTTGGTTCTTGATTCTTCCACGGGAGCAGGCAGAGTGCAACAATGAATTAAATCCCCTAGGTAACTGCTCTAATGCCATAAACTTAGCTTCTTATTATCTACTCCCTCCGTTCCATAATATAAGATGTTTTTGCAGTTCCATATGAACTGCAAAATCGTCCTATATTATGGGACATTCAGAAAGAGTGGAATAAAAGCACTTCAGAGAGTCAATACAACGCCGCACCCATGGAAAAAAGAGTCGAAAAGGCAACTCATCGGGATGTAAGCAAAATTTTAATTAAACATGAAACAAGTAGGCATGCCATGAAACAAATAGGGTGAAAATGGAGCAGAACCTATTCTAAAAAAAAATTGGTCAGAAATGGCACAACAAGTAGCCATGGGATATGTCCAGCCAATCGACATAGATGTACCTGAACCCAAGACCCTTGTGATGCACCTCTCAAGTTCAAGCAATCAGAAGATCATCCAACTAGTTCATTTAAGACTTTCTTGTTGAACAAATTTGTAACACAGAAATTAGAGATTCTTAATGTCTGATTTTTTTTTTGACATCTGGAATCTGGCAACTTTTGATTCTTTATTCTTCCACGGGAGCAGGCAAATCATTCCCTAGGTAAATGCTCTAATGCCATAAACTTAGCTTCTTATTATCTACTCCCTTCGTCCGGAAATACTTGTCGGAGAAATGGATGTATCTTATGGAGGGAGTAGATAATAAGAAGCTGAGTTACTAAATGTCTTTAACTTACTAAATGTTGGGCACCATCTCAAATCCCTTCTGAAAATAAACTGAACAAAGTGCAAAGCAGTTACAGTTAAGGATCTAGTTTTAAAGTCCACAATGCACTGGTACTGAAAGTGCATTGGACCTCTAGATAAACACTAAAAGTTCATACCTACAGGAATTATACAAGCAATGTCAGTATGCCATAATTAGCAACTCTCTCTCTCTCTCTTATATATATATATATATATATATATATATATATATATATATATATATATATACATTTACAAACAAAAATAACCTCTGGTTGTATATGGGCAGCATTGGCTCTATGTGGTGTTCCATGTATTGCCTCCCAAGTTCAACAAAAAAAACCATGCAATGTATAGTTTTCTGGCAGAAGTAGAATGATCCTTCTTGAGAGCATCTGCGGTGTATGGTGCTGTGATTGGATCAGTAGATGGATCGAGTGTCTGGTTGCTTGCAGAACTAACCGTTCTTGGGCTGTGCTCGATTTACAAGTTATCCGCGGTCTCTAGGATTGAAGTCGATCTCAATCGCCTTGAATTGCACATTGTTAAATGAAAGCCCGTAGTTCTGTTGCTAATAACTCACGTTTGATGGGATGGATCTCCAGTAGCTTTGATGTTTCCCTTTTGGTTGCCGAGCGGTAAAAAATGAACTACAGTGCCACATCACCTTTTCTGTCAGAACAAACGTAACAAATATGTTTGATATTGAAAAACAACCAGAAAAGGTTTCGTGGTGTAGTTGGTTATCATGTCAGTCTAACACACTGAAGGTCTCCGGTTCCAACCCGGGCGAAGCCATTTGTAATATTTTTTTGTTGCCATTTTCTTTTGTGTGTTCTTCTCTGAACTCTTTCATCTCAGCCGATGGTGTCAGGTAAGCATGCATGCATGCAAGAGCTGAGAAGGAATCATCATTCAGAGAAGAGAGGCACGCACGGAGGTTGCTATGTTACTCCTCCCTTTCCTCGTCGGCCCGGCATGGCCGGCGAATCGCCACCACGTCGCGCCACGGCCGATACCAGCGGGGAAGGGGGCGGCGTTTTCTTCCCACCAGCTCGACGGCTTCTCGGTCCGTCCTCGTCACCGGCGCCAAGACCGCCAGGTTCTCTCCTTCCTACACTCCTTGCCCTCGCAGATTCATGCCATACGTTTGAAGATCTGAACTTATTTCAGACCAAACTTAATTTGGACCCTAGATGGATCTGTTAGCTATGGAGTTCATCAGTTATTCTATATAAGAACACACATCAACATCCTACACATATACGGAGTAGATTATAAAATTACTGGAATGTTTACATTCAGGGTTACTGGTAACCAGATCATATAGTAGGTCCTTTTTCCTGTTGCCAACAACTGCTCTGCTTGATTATATACAACTCCGGCCACTCTCCAGTTGCCTTAATCAAATCAAATCCCAAGCCTGACAGCCCACCGGTTATATATATGATTGAATCGCAATCAGTCGGTGCATATGATTGAATAGCAATCAGATCGACAAGGACAAGACAGGAAACTTTAGGAGCGTGCATGAGATTGAGTAACCACCATACATAGGTTCACCAAGAGTTTGGATTAGATATTTCATTACAGACGGTTGCTTTAATTAAACATAATATGCAACTACACTCTCCAGTTGCTTTTACTCAATTCCAAGCCCAAGAGTCCTCCTTGGTGTGCTACCTAAGATGCCAAAATGAACACGGCAGGAAACTCCATGAGCATGCACATCATTGAATAACCACCATAGGTAACACCAAGAGTCGGATTACATATACTAGTAAATGGCACGTGCTTTGCACGTGTAGCTTTATGAATGTAGACCAACATCACCAAGTGAACTTTGCAACTCAAAATAAGTAAAATACTCCCTCTGTCGCATATTTTAGTTATCGCTACAACGGATGTATCAACAACAACTAATGTAGGACAAAGGAAATAAATAGTTACTCGCTCCAATCCAAATTAATTGACGTGACTTCTATGCAATGTCTTACTTACATTGTATATAGGTTGCGTCAGTTAATTCGTATTGGATGGAGTATATTCTTTTTAAGACCGGATAGACGGCTTCCTGAGGTTGGCCTTTAACATAGCAAACCATCAATGTAGGAACACCCAAGGATTTTTTTTTTGAGTTTCCTGAAATTCATAGTTTGACACACTTGTCTTCAAACAAAAAGAAAAAACAGAGGAAAAATATGTGCTCTTTGTGTTTGGGATTGCTTCCGGAGGTGAAATCCTCCAGATTGCTTCCGGAGGTGAAATAAACCTTGCATCTCTATACTCACGAATTTCATCAATAACTGCATCATCTTCTGCGGCTTCGATGACAATGGAGGCATGATCATGACCTTTGTAGATGTATTTGAATAAATATTTCACAGCCTTGACGCTAGAGCAAACTTCAATATTTATATGGCAATTGTATCGAATAAGTAAATAGGGATTGTATGGGACAACCCATCTATTATCCAAAACTGCACCCCTGATGCGCACTCGACGGCCGTCATTCCTGCGCCTATAAATTGGATAAGAGTCCTCTCCTTGTTGTGTAGTCTCTGCGAAATGTCGAGGATAATGATACCGACAACTTCCATTTTCCATGCAAGGATTATTTATGTTGAGAACTCCACATGGGCCGTGCATCATGTGCTTAATAACTAAATCATGCAGCATAGGATATTTATCATTATCAGGAATTTCAGCTGATATTAT